CCCTCTGTCTTTATTCTTGTCTCCGCTCCCTGCACACTCCGTTACCGCACTCTGCTTGTCCTCTCAAGCTGCCTTCTGAAATCTTCTGTTCTGCTCCTAGCTGCAGCATCTCCTCCTGGCGCTGACTTCCTGATATTTTAGTGCCATTTTCAGGGTCTCATCTGATACCCACTTTGGTTATTCTTCTCCTTTATCTTGATAATGACCTTCTACTCTCTTCATGAGTGATGGTCTTTTTTTTTTTTATGAGTGATGGTCTTGATGCCAACCCACAACTCAATTGGTCTTCAATCACTGGTGTTCAATGTCTCAAACCTATTCTGGAGATGATTTTTAAATTCAGGTTGGGTAGACTCAAGGTCATATTTTGGTTCTTGTGGACTTGTTTTAACTTTTTCAGCCTCAGTTTGAACTTGCACATGATGCACGGATGGTCTATTCCACAGCCAGCACCTGGCCTGGTCCCGACTACTGATGGATTCGAATCGCATACCTTGGGGGCTGCAGTGCAGCTTCTTACCACTCAGCCACCAGAGCTCCCTTTAATAGACATCTGTGCATATAAACAATAACATAGATTTAATATCCCTCTCATCGCCATCAGGTTGGAACAGACCACTCCATTGGTTTCTGAGGCTGTAAACTGCACGGGACAAGACTGCCCACCTTTCTCCCGAGAGCCACTGGTGGATTCAAACTCTGGAGAGGAGCGGCTGCGCGACTCTGCAGACTAGAGGAGCGAGCTTCCCAGATGTGACATCCCAGGTGTAACACAGCCAACAACAATACAACACACAAGGAGGGCAGGAGCAAGTGCACACCCTACTAGCTACACAGCAGTCCCTAAGCACAGAACAGGAGGAGAGTGTGTGTATACACACATATATACATACACACACACACACACAGACATATATATACACACGCAGACATAGATATAATACATATCATGAAAAGTCAGCTGAAGTGCATGTTAGGGAATAATCTGTGAATGCAAAGGGAAGCAGTGAAAGAGGGTGTGGAGAGCAAGTAAGACACAAGAGTCTATAAAACAAAGTCAACTGACAGATGTAAATTTAACTATAGCAATAATACTAAAAGAGAAAGTGTTAAAACAATCAAATGGCAGAGATTATCAGACTATTTTCTTTCAAATCCAACTATATACAGCCTATCAATTTAAAAAATAAAAAAGGTTTTTTTTTTAAATCCAACTCTATACAGCCTTTGGGAGCTCTAGTGACCTTGCCGTTAGAAGCTGCGCTGCAATCCTGAAGGTGTGTGGTTCGAATCCATCAGCTGTTCTGTGGAGAAGGGGGATGGGCAATCTCCTCCCATGCAATTAACTGCCTCTGAAAACCCTCTGCAGGTTCAGTTCTGACTGAAAAGTACAGAACAACAACCACAACATATAATACAGTCTACAGAATACTTTAAGCATACACATGTTAAAAGTAAAAGTAAAAGGATACAAAAAGATGTGCTCTCACAAACAACAATGATAACAAGCTAAGTTGGCTATTTTAACATCAGACTTTAAAAAGTCTGAACAACGGAGACGTACAACAAGCTCGCTCCACTGGGCAGTCACCAGCAGCAGTGCGTGGCGTGCTGTGCCAGCAGGCGTCAACGTGGACGTCTCCAACCCTCTGCTTGGCCACTCCTCTCCCGACACTAGATACGATGCCATCACCTCCATAATGAGACTGCTATGAGCACCGTCCGAGTGGCGTTTCACCGAGGGGATGGCCTGCACCAAACAAGTCAGGACGCAGGCCGAGCTCCTCGCTTTCTGCATGATCCGCATCCTGCATCCGCCTCTCACCATCTCATCTCTCGTTCTCTAGGTAGGAGCCAGCCGCCTGCCATGCTGCTTGCCAGTCTCGGACTCAGCACACCTGGAAGCCAGCAGTTACCTGAGTCAGCATGACATCTGACCCTTGGATTCAGGACTCGCCAACTTCTGCAACTATTATGTGAGCAACTTCTTTGAGATAAACAGCTGTATTTCTCCTCTTCATCTCTTTAAGTTTTGATTCATGTACATATAACACCTCACCCTCCCTCCACACACTTGGACGCATGTACACACATATATACACATACATTCCGTTGACTGTGCTTCTCTATAGAGAACACAGGCAAAGTCATGCACCTAACAGAACTCCAAAATATGGGACGCAGAGGGCAGAGAGAACTGAGGGGAGAGGTAAACAATTCAACAATAACAGTGGAAGAAGACCTCAACAGCTTGCTTTCAGTAATGGATAGAAAAGCGGGCAGAGGACCAAGGATAAATTATGAAACAGCACAGTACTGTTTGCACTATTTCCTTCTGATTCCCGACACAAGTCCAACTGAGCAGCCATCGACAGACGAGCAGAACAGATCATCCTCTCAAAGAGGCATGAACCATTTTTCAGGAAAGACTACGTACTAGCTTTTAATGGAAAACAGATCTAAATAAATCACCAGGGCAGAACTCAAACAAAGGCCTTCTCAAATCGCAATACAGTGAGAGTAGAAATTAATAAATAACAAAAATAAAGCTGAAAAAGAAAGGTGAGAAATTAAAAACTGTGGAACTGACGCAACCCATGAGTAAACAACTCAGGGCCAAAAACCAAATCACAAAGAAAGTGAGCAAGCGCTTTGAGATGAGAAGATACAAACGTGAGTCAAACCGAACGTAGGTCTGTAAGCAACACACATAGTTGTGAACGCCTTCACTGAACACATCTCCATCCAAGCGGCTAGCCTCCCACCATGAGGTCCACAGTGAAGGTGAACTCAGGGAGGCCGAGCTGACGGCACGCGCAGATACATGGCTGACACAGGGTCCTCCTCCATGCCTGCCCCCAGCTGAGGATTTAGCAACTAAATCAATCGTCCAAGTACCTGCGAAGGCTCTACTGTGACCAGGTTTTACACCGAGAGGAACCTGGGTCAGCATGCAGGGCCCTGGCAGGCTGGGACTGGTCGTGGACCCTCAACTCTCACACACCTCTCCTTGAGCTGGTCTTGCTGGAGCCTGGGGCCAGTGGGGCCATGGAAAGTCCTCAGCTGGCAGGGAGCCCCAGACGAACATGCACAACCCTGAGTGGGAAAGGCTCCTGGAGGAGCTGTTCACAAGGTACCCAACAGGGCAGGACGCAGACACACTGCCCCTTGGAGAGGGTGATCATCTCTGCCCACAGAGACCCTCGAGGGAGGCCGAGCACTCCCCACGGACAGGTCCGGGCACTCCCTGCGGACAGGTCCTTGTGCACAGAACATGGGGACAACCAGTGGTGGCACCTTATGTGTCCACGACTGAAAGGCCAGGCTGGGAGAGAGGGCGGCTGACGGAGGGGGGCAGACCTCTGGAGACCTAATCACTCACAGGATGGGTGGGCTCTGCACAGGCCCCTCCTCAGAGCAGCCAACAATCTCACTTGATTCAGTGCAATGTTAGACGCTCTCTGGGGCCCATTTGAGGACTGCTACTTGAGCAAGGTGACGACTCAGCACTTTGTACATTATTTAGAGACCACGTTAACCCTTGCAGGCCCAGGCGGAATGCGGTGCGCTCAGCGCTTTCCAGTCCGCAGTTACCAGCTGCCATCCATCATGCGGGAGACGCTGCTGACACACAAAAGGGAGACAGGAAGCACTTCCACGAAGAGAGCCAGGCGCCCCCACCGTGTCTTCACTTACACGGGACCCTGGTGCAGCCACCTGGGCAGGGGTCTAGGGTGCCCCAGGCCCTGTCACGGGCTGTTGTGGTGGAGCCTCCAGGGCTGCAAGGTGACCACCCAAGGCCCCAGGCTGTCCAGCCCCAACCTCCTGCAGGCAGAGAGCCTGAGCAGGGGAAGGGTGAGGGGGACAGGCGCGAGGCTGTGCACAGGCAGTGGCTCCCGTGTGGGTGTGGCTTCAGAAGCTGTGTTCTCAGGTGGGGATATGGGGTGGGACTGGTCCAGCCCGCCCTCTCTGTTTGAGGCACAAACAGGGTGTCTGGGGACAGGGACCCAGCCCTGCCACAAGCCCTGGACTGGCCTCAAGGCCCTCCTGGGAGGCTCAGGCTCGGGTGGCTACCTTGGTTTCTTTCTCCTCTGGCCAGGGCAGAAGGAGGCGAGGGGTGTCTGCTCAGGCCAGCGGCTAGCTGAGACCTAACGACCCCCAGGATGTGGCCTAGTCGAGCAGGTGGAGCTGAGCCAGTAGCTCCCTCACAGGCCAGGCACCGGGGCGCAGCAATCACAGCATCACCACCACCTCCCTGAGATCCCAGGAGGGGCCCTGCATGCTGCCAGCACCTCAGTACTTGTCACAGGCACCCTTACAGCTGACCCTCTTACAGCCATCCTCCTTACAGGTGTCCCCCCTTACAGCAGCCCCCCTTATAGCAGTCCCCTCCCACAGGCATCTCCCCTTACAGCCATCCCCCTCACAGGAGTCCCTGCTTACAGACACCCCCTCTTAAAGACACTCCCCCTTAGAGCCATCCCCTCCCTTACCACCATCCCCCTCACAGGCATCCTGCCACAGCTAAGACACTGCTGTCTTCAAGGCTCTACTCAGCTCCTACCTGTATCTGTCGGCCCTCGGCTCTCCCCGAGACGCACCCCTGCCACCAAAACTGCCCAGGACCTCTACCCTCCGCATGGAGGCAGAAGCAAGGGTCCCAGTGTGGAGCGGCGTCCCGGGACTTCACCCCCACAAGCCAGGCCACATCGTCATTGTCAGCAAGGACTTTTCAAGACCTGCCTCTCAGACAGCCTTCCCAAAAGCACCCCTTTTAGGGGTCCCTATCCTGTCCCATTCTACCCTAGTGTTTCACACCCCAACACCAACCCCTTACCCTGAGCCCCGCTATGCAACACTGAGTCTCCCATCAGCCCCCTGCCCCCCTCACCCTGACGCTCACCCCCAGCACCCCATGGCCTCCCATCGACCCCCTGCCCCTCACCCCGCTCCCCGAGCACTCTCACCCACCCCCACATGGCACCCTCATCTACACTCACCTTGGTACCCAGCGGGCAGTAACCTTTGAGGAAGTCTCTGCAGACCTCAGCCTTGCGAGACACGTAGACATGGCTATAGGGACAGTTGCTGTTGCTACAAATCCCCTTCAGGAAGTAGGAGCACACAGGCATCTGGGGAGCGAGAGAGGGGGAAGGGGGAGAAGAGTGGACAGCAGAATGGGTCCCAACTGCACCCCACCTCCACTCCAGCACCTGGCATGTGTTCCCCATTTCCCAGGTGGAAAACCTGGCCTCAAACAGCTTGTGGTACCACAAGAGGCCCTCAGCACACTGCACCACAAGGGGGACCAAAGGGGAGCAACCTACAGCCTGGGTCCTCCATCCACAGAGGCAGGTGAACTGGCACGCCGTCCTTCCTCCACCCTGCCCCCTCAGGGTGTGTCCCATGGTGCCTCCCTCCTCAAGTCCACTGCAGCTCTACCAGGTCCCCCCCACCCAGGACCTTCCCCAGTGACCCCATCCCAACTGGGGGTGTCTCTGCCTCAGGCTCATCCATGCCCATTCCCCCATGGTCCCAGCCCTGGGGAATCTAAGCCCTAGGTGCAGCCAAGCCCTGTCCCCTTCCAACTGGGGGTCCTAGCTGTGAGGGGGTGTCCTAAGCCACAGCTCTGTCCACATCCCACCATAGCTGATGAGATTCAGAACAAAGTCCCAGGAGTTGTGGGACCAGCAGTCCTGTTCCACCCTGGGGGCATATGAGCTGGGAGATGGTCTATGACCTTGATGGCCCCTCCCAGCGGACTAGACAGGGAGGCCAGAAGACTCCACTTTGGGGGATAAGGTACAGGCAGTGGCCAGAGGGGTCCAGGGTCAAGGAAGGCCCTGAAATAAAGGGTAATTGTGTGTCTTTAATTGTCTTCTAACTGCAGCCGCAAAGGGAAGAGGAGCTGGGCTCCCCTGGGCTGGGGCGGCTGGCACTGTGCGGCTTCCATGTGTGAGTCCCTTAATGCGGTTTTTGATATAGAGCCCAAATTAGCTCTAATAAAAAGGAGCAATAAAGCCAACCCTTACAGCAAACGCACCCTCCTTGCTGTCAGATCGGCACCATTATCACGAGGAAACTGCCTTCTCATTTCAATTAACCTTGTTTGCACCCACCACGTCTACACAAATAACAATAACATTAACTCAGGGGCTGGGCGGTCAGACAGCTCAGCGCGGGGCCCAGAGCCAGCAGCTAATGAACCCGACACCCGACGTGAGCCTCCAAATTGCTCACAACAGAGTTTCGGAGCCTCTATTAGGGAGAAAAATGCTGATTCTTTTCAAGTTCCTCAAGGGGAAAAGCTGTCGTAGCAGCAGTGGCTGCCTCTGCCCACCACGCCTGGCCCTGCCCCTCTGGGGGCCCTTGGCCCACCACGCCCGACCCTGCCCCTCTGCCCACCACGCCTGGCCCTGCCCCTCTGGGGGCCCTTGGCCCACCACGCCCGACCCTGCCCCTCTGCCCACCACGCCTGGCCCTGTCCCTCTGGGGGCTACCCCTCACTCCCATCTCCTATGCACCCTCAGACAGTGGAACCTTGGCCCAGAAGTCCCTAGGACTTTGCTCCTCGGAGGTTGTGAGGTGATTGGTGGGGTCACCCATCCTGCCCACTCCTGAGATGTCCTGCTTCACAGTGTGAACCTCTGAAACACCCCACCTGCAGCAGCTTCGGGGATCTGCTGACTTTGACATAAAGCTGCAGGTGGGACCTCAGCCTGTCCCCACCTGGTCTGTATCTTGGGTACAGTGGAGGCGGCTGGGGGGAGTGGGGGGGCACTAGGGAGAAGAGAGGGGCAGGTGGGGAGGAGGGGCAGGTCCGGAGCTGACCTTGTCCTTGGAGATGTGGTGGGAGAAGGGGCAAGTCCCATCTGTCTTCTTGCAAGTGCCCCGGAGGAACCTGTGGGCAGCAGAGTGAGCAGGCCAGTGGGGGGGAGGAGGGAGGGGAGGGGAGGCGGGAGCAGGGCAGGCGGGCACCTGGTGCACACGGCCACCTTCTCAGGGTCGTGGATGTAGGGGCAGCTGTCCCCACGGTTGCAGCGGCCAAAGCGGTTGTAGTACATGCAGTACTCCGGCTGCCGCTCCTTCTTCCTCTGCTGTGCCTGGCGGATGATGGCAAGACTGCGCTGCAGGGCCCGGCTGCGGAGAGGGGCAGTACGTGAGCCTGCGGCGTGGCTGGGCCCACCCCAGCCCCAAGGGCTTACCTGGCCAGAGAGCGGCTGCAGCTGGCTGGCTCCAAGCGGCCTGTGAAGGGAGGGAGGGGGTGGTCACACAAGCCACAGCTGGACGGCCACCCCGATGCCCCCACCATGCCATCCCACTGCCTAGTCCCCTAGGGCTTGGTGCATCCCTCACTTGGCAAGGCCCTCTGAAGGGACTCTACATTCAGCTCAGGAAGGTGGTCTCCTCAAGTCCCCAGGCCACCAAGGAAGAAGGTTGGGTGGGAGGAGCTGAGCAGCAGGGCAGGAGGGCCCTTGCCTCAGGCCACACTTGGGCTTCTGGAGGGCTTGGTTACACAGCAGGCAAGTTCATACCTTCAGCCACCCATTGCATCCTGCTAGCCCACCCTGTGGTCAGGCAATCACACGGCAGGAGGACAGCTGGGCAGCAACAAGCCCGGGCACTCTGCAGATCGTTGTCCCACCCATCCCAGGAGGCCACCTGTGTGAGCAAGGAGCTGTCCCTCCCACCTGGACAAACCACAAGGAATGACCAGACACTTGGAGGGAGGACTGTCTTTTCTCTGACAAAACCACACAGAGGTAGCCATGGGGACCCAAAGTGACATACATGTTTGTGAAAGAGAAAATTAAATGATAGGGTGTTTGTTCAACAGGAAAGCTGGCTTCACAGCCTGCCCAACAGCAGAAGGGGCTTCACGGGGCCCTGAGTGCCACACCTGGGGTTCACTGTCCAGGGCCGCGAGCAGCCTGCCCAGGTCACAGCTCAGCTTGGAAGATGCCAGGATGGGAGAGGCCACCAGGTGGAGTGCTAGGCAGCTGGGGACACACACACGACACACGGCGCACACACGCACACACGGCACACACGAACATATGGCGGATACACACGGCACACGCACGGGCACGCACGGGCACACACAGGGACATGGATACACACGGCACACGCACGGGCACGCATGGGCACACACACAGGGACACACAGCACACACACGGGCACACACACGGACATACAACACACATACACAGGGCGCGCACACACGGCACATGTACAGCACACACACATACACACACGGCACACTCAGGACCCTATTTCCTGCGGGCACTTGCTGGGACAGACCCCGTGGAAGGTGGTAACAGTCATCTACAAGCCAGCCTGCTCCTCTACCTCAGCCTGTCCCACTGGACAGTGACAGAGCGGTCCCAACCCCAGGCACCTCTGCTTAGATAAGGGGTTTGTTCCTGCAGCCAACCCCAGGTCTCCTGCCCACTGGGCATACCTAGCCCTCTGGCCTCCTCCCTGCTCCAGGCCCCATCTGGCACGTCTACCTGGGGTCCACCCACTGGCAGTGGACTAGAATATGGCATGCTCAGACCAGCGAGCACTGCTCACATGTGCCAGCCTAGGTGCCCATTACCCTGGGCCTGTCCATACTGCCCACAGAGGCCAAGGCCCCCAGAACCCCCTACAGCCTATAGGGTGGGGGTGCTGTCCACCTCTGCAGGGAGGGGCTTCTGGGCCAAACCAGGAAAGGATGAATATGCCCCATCCTGAGCCGCTCGGACCCTTCCCTCAGACGAGGCTGGGAGGGGGGAGCAGGGTCTGTGTCTGCCCCCACAAGCCTGCATGTCGGTGGAACTGGGTGCACCTCAGAGCTGGCACAGGGATGTCATCTGCTCCAGGCAAAGTGCTGCACACTGGCCACATGCGGCCTGCCCACTACTGGACACAGCCCAGCCCAGGCTCTTCCCACTAAAGGCCAGAACCTTGGGAACTGTGCAGCCCTGCACTCCTTGGTGGGGTTCTGACAGGAGGGGTGGCCCCTTCCCAGCCTGCTGTGCGTGTTAAAAAATGCACATAAAGTAACTGGCTTTCAGGGAGGCGCTAACTGCAGGACCCTGGGGCCCCCTGCAGCAGAAGGCACAGAGCTCTCACCTCCCAAAATAGACCCCCCAGCTGGGGAGGGAGAGGAGCCACCTGCATGGGGAGGTGGGGCCGCTGTACCTCCCCGCCCCTCCTCGCCCTCCCAGACAGGGGGCATGGGAGGAGGCATGGCTCAGCAGAAGGCTAGACCCTCTCTGGCCAGAGCATCTGGGAGCGGTCACCTCAGGCCCTAGAGGTCCACTACTCACAAAGCTCCCAGTGCCCCTCTGCTTGGGCTGGCCTCTGTGTCTTGGGGACACTTGGGCTCTTGTCCCCAGGACAGGGCAAAGTCGAGGAGTGGGATCTGGGAGGGGAAGAAAACTGAGGAAAGGGGTCTGGTGGGGAAGAGTTCAGGGCTTAGTAGGCAGAGAGCTGGAGAGTAGAGTCGGGGGGGCAGGGAGAGGGCTGAAAGGTGGAGAAAGGGGAGGAGGGGAGAGTTGAGCTCCAAGAGGTGGGTTCTGGGCAGGAAGAGTAGAGGGGCGGGTCTGGGAGGGCAGAGTGGAGGAGTGAAGTCTATGGGGGAGAGAGAACTAAAATCGGGGATTGGGATGGGAGGAGGAAAAAGGGCAGCAGGATGGCCTGGAGAGACTCGCTCCCTGCCCAGGGCCTCACAACCCCCCTCCTCTGTTCAGCAGTGAGGCCTGGGCTCTGGGGCCTGGGAGCAGGGACTGGGCTGCGATGGACACTCAAGGGCTTGCAAGTGGCCTGGAGCCTCACTCTACTGGAGTGACCTCGTGTGCCCAGCGCCACGGCACAGATCCCAATGGGCACCACCAGAGCTTGGGGAAGGCTCTGGCACCAGGCCTGGCAGTCAGTGGCTTTGCTCCCAGGGCGAGCAGGGAGCACGGCTTGCTCTGCAGAGTGGCCGCGCGCGCGCGCTGCCCCAGAAACGCACGTGAGGGCTGATGCCTCCCACAAGCCTGCGTTCTGCTGACACAAGAGCAGGAAATTGATTTCTTTAATTATTATTCATAGAAGTGTCTCCACTGGTCAGCAGACATCCTGGCCGAGGGGAGCCATCTACTGTCCTCTTGGTGGCCTGGCCTGGCTCACACAGCAGGAGTGGTCAGGCATCCTCCACACCGCCCACCCCTGCCCCTGCAGCAAGCGAGGGGGCAGAGGCAGGAGAAGCAGCAGTGAGGGCCTGCACCGCCCACACCCCGGCCTGTCCTGTATCTGCAGAACTCAGGCTTGTGAGGAGCTGTGCGGATGCTCAGGTCACGTCCATGGTGAGGCCCTGTGGAGCCCTGTCTCTCTTACCAGCTTTCATCACTGTCCGGCAGCCCCCTGGCTCTCCTCCTGGGGCTCTGACTCAGCCTCTCACCCCATCTCCTTGGACAAGGAGAGGAAACTTGGGCCCTTGCCTGTCACTTACAGAAGCTGCACACCAACACCCACAGCTGTTCCAGGAGGCTACGGGGAGGGTTGGCCAAGGCTGGTCCCCTGATAGGGGGTGGGAGTCGGGCTCTCTTCCCCCCAAAGCCACGCTGACCACAACTGTCTGAGGCAGGCCTCAGGCCAGGAGGACCCCTAGGTCTCCATCCCTTCCCCCACTCGGCACATCACAAGTTCGTTCCCCCTCAGGTTCCCACCTGTGTCTGTGCTCCTGGCCCACCTAGCCCCTGCAGCCCCTCCACTGATGGACAGGGCCCCTTCCTGTCACCCCACCTCACATAGGACCACTCATCAGAGGGGCAGGACACAGTGGGCATCAGCCATGCAGCCCCTCTGGCTCTGGCACCACCAAGCTTCTTCCAGGACCCCTGTGTGCAGAGGGCAGGGGCCCCAGCACACTCCAGGACCGAGCCTTCTCTTCGGTGACACAAGGAAGGGAGTGAAATGAGACTGAAACAAAAATCTGTTTCTGGTTCATCCACACACTAACCAAGGCCGAGCGCCTCCTTTCTGGCTGTCCCTCTGGAGCCACACCTGAGGCATGGCCAAAGCAGTAACCAGTTGCCGTGCCCAGGTGCTCAGGCCTGCTCACCACACCCGGCTCAGCTCAGCACCTCTGTCCACAGGACACAGGCTCATACAAACCCGCAGAGCCCTGCAGGCCATTCAGGGCCTGGCCCTCCCACACGAGCAAACCCCTGTCCTGCCAGAGTGTCTGCCTTGTGCCTGCAGCCCACTGCCTGCTACCTGCTGCCCCTGCCCTTTGCCCGCTACCTCCTGCCTGCCGTCCACCCACCCTGACCTCACCCTGTGCCCCTGCCTGTACCCTGTGATCCCCCTGCCCACACCCTATGCCCTCCTGCTCTGCCCTCACTCTGTCCCCCCCCCCCCCCCACCCCGGTCCTGCCTGTACCATATGCCCCACGTCCTACCCTCACCTGTGGGCCGGCCTGAGGTCTTGGAGAGCTTGTTGGCGGTCACCCTGTAGAGGACCCCTCCGATGCAGCGGTAGCCCTTGTTCCGCCACAGGGGGGTGCCTGGGGAGGCCTTCTCAGTCCCAGTGGTCACCGAGCGCTGGCGATTCAACACCACAGACCTGTGGGGACAGGAAAGGCTGCTCAGCCTGGGGGTCATCTGTGCTGGAGGCCCAGAGCCCCACCTGTCGCCAGTGCCCCCACAGCCCTGTTTCATGGTCCTTGAAGGGGTTCATCTTGCTTACCAGGTTAGGACTGGTGACCGCAAGGACACACACCCTGGGATGGACATCACCCCAGGCTGGTAGGCAGTGCTAACCTGACCCCAGGGACTGCTGGTTAAGAGGCCCTAAGCAGAGGCCTGAGAGCTGAGCTGAGACCCTCCTCCTGCCCACCCACCAGGGAGACCCCACATCCTCAGGGAAGTCCAAGGATGGGGCATTCAAGAGGAGGCCAGAGACAAAGCCCAGCGGGCGTGCCTCAGTGGGACTGTACATCCCGTCCTGCAGCGCTGAACAGAGCCACCAACCAGTAGGCCGTGTCCCCACAGCCTGGAGCTGGCAGCCGAGACCCAAGGCTGAGCCAGTGACCAGCAGGCTTGGTCCACCCCTGGCCCACAGCTAGCACACCGATGCCCTAGGCCCTACAGCCTACTTGTGAACCCAAGTTCCAAGAGGCACAGACTCAAATATGGGTCCCCTCTGGGGGCACATGGGCTACAAGCCCCTGTGGAAGCAGCAAAACCACTCAGAGAGGACACATGGGAAAGGGAGTGGCAGTGGCCTCCATAAGCAGGACTGGGTCATGGTCGCTTAGGTCTCGGCCCCTTGTCCTTGGCCAGGCAAGCTTCTGAGGGCCTTTTGGTGTGAGGCTGTGCAGCCCCCAACCAGCCCATCATCAGACCAGGAAGGGACACCTGCAGGTCTAAGGGACCCCACTTCCCCCATCAGCAATGGCAGGGGTGAGGTGAGGCAGTTGAGCCAGGAAGTCAGTGTGCCCGTGGTTCTTCTATAATATTGGCCTCCACTGGGGACATGGTGTCCAGCTACCTTAACTGCAAACACATGGTCTTGCAAATCATCAACAGCTGTGAGACCAATATAAAAGAGTGCTTTCCACACTGTGAAAGACTATGGTGGAGAGAAGGTGAGGGAGGAGACTCTAGCACTGCTGTGGAAAGATTGTGGGAAGGTATAACCAGAGGAACTCTGGAGATGGAGCCACCATTAAAGGTTTTGTTTGATGGATAACTGAAGGAAAAACTGACTTGTAACTGCTCTGAGATAAAAGTTTGCTGGATGACTGAGGAAACCAGAGGTTTATTTGTGCTGCCGAACTGAACCTAGCCTTTGACTTCTTTACTCAGAAACTGTCTGAAGTAACTGAGGAATTGTGTCTTGCTGTTACTCTGGCTTGAGACTACTGGACTAAACCTGGACTTGCAGTGTATGATATGCTTTGCCTCTCCCACTTCCCAACCTATTTCCCTAGTAAACTCCACAACTGTGGGTAAAGTCTGTGAGTCAATTTGCAATGAACATTGGATTCAATGATTGTTAGAAATAGGTGCAGGAGCACTTGGGGTGGCATCTCTGACTATGCAGCTATTTGTATGGGACTATGGATATTACTGATGGGGACAGTACCCATTTATGAAGACTTGGCCACCCCTACATTCCCGCTGCTCCTTTCACAGTGACTAGGACATCACCACGATGGCAGTGGACACGGGACTCACCTGCCTGAACCCCGTGACAGCATGCAGCACTTCCCTCAGCCCAGACGTGCAAATGGCCCTCCCTTCTCGCCACAGAATCAGCCCACACCATATGGTTCTGTTCCATCTCTTCCTCTCTTGTCCCTTCCACCCTCGCCCATCTGTCCCTGGCTGGCCCCAGCCCACAGGAGTGCACAGTGAACCCTCTTTCTTGGGGTCTCCTCTCACGGCTGAGGCGGCTCAAGGTACAAAGCTCTGCAGAGCTAACCACAAGCACTCTGACATCCATGCTCTGATTAACACCTACCTCTGCATTAACTGACCCAATCACTCCTCTCTGCTGTGGGCAGAACTGTGTCCCCTAAGACATGCTGGCCTTGTTAGTGTCACTGTGTTCAGAAGCAGGGTGAGTACAATCAGGTTAGGGTCACACTGGGTCTGGGGAGCCCTCACTTGATGAGCAATATCTCTAAGAGGGGGCCTCTCAGAGAAGGACACAGGGGAAAGACCATGTGATGATGCAGGCAGAGGCTGGAGCAATGCAGCCGCAGCCCAGGAACACTGACCACACTGGAATCTAGGAGAGCAGGAGGACCCTGCCCAGGGCTTCCGGAAGGACTCAGCCTGCTAGGACCACAGTTCTGGGTGAGGGTCCGCGATCTCATCTACGCTGGACACAGACCCTCCACAGCCCTGGCCACAGACAGCAGCATGTGCTCCAAGCCTGCAGGGGCGGACAGGTGGCAGCGTCCTTCCTCCTGACAGGCACACATGCTGGACCACAGTGGCCATCACCCACTGCTCGGCATACTCATAAATGTTGGGCCGCAGGGCAGACGTGGGCACGCATGAGAACCTGGGGACAGGGCAGCCTGGGCCCTGTGCTGAGCAGGTCAGAGGGCTCAGAGGAAGGCCTGACGGCGCTGCAAGTATCTCCTGTCCTCTGTCCCTCCCTCCTCTCTGCTGCTATGTCCCCTCTCACTTCCTGCTTTCTGCTGCTTGGTTCCCTCTGTCCTCTCCACTACCTCACTCCTTTCCCTCCATCCCTCCATTCCCTGCCCTCTGCCAGGCCACTCCCTCTGCCACTCCATCCTGCTCTGAAGGAGGCACCTTTTGCCAGGAAGGCACCAGGGCGTGAGACCTGCGTGGTGGGTGAGCACTGCCCTCTCCTGATGCCTGGAGGCTTCCCCGGCCCTGGGTGTCACAGCACTCCAGCAAATTGTCATCTAATGGAAAGGACAGCCTTTGGAAACGAACTGTATTGAGAGGAGACGATGAAATTAATGAGATAATAGCTGGGGCAAGGACCTGGAGCGCGCGCCTGCCCTCCCAGCGCAGGCCTGTAATTCCTTTTCTACAACGGGGCCTCAGATCTAAAGACTGCTCCCATCCGTCCGGCAGGCCCACGCCGCCAGGAAATTTCATTAACGCTGGAAAATAGGAAAGGTATTAAGCGTGGATAATGAAGGCCAGGGAGGGAGCAGCGCCTTAAGATGGTCTTCTTTCTCGCCTTTGTAATGGGAGGCATGAACTTTCCCTTCAAATCCATTTCTAATCCATTTGAAATACTACAGCAAATTATCTCCCCTTCAGCCCGAAAGCGGCCAGCCAATTTACTCCGAATAGGAAGTGACAATGCACCAGGATTTATCGCCATAACCTTGACTACACAGGGTGAGGGCTGGTCCTCCCCTCGGCCCAGCGGGGGCACAAGGACAGGGTGGGGAGACGGCACGCAAAGGGGTCGGAGGCGCAGCACAGACAGACATCCACCTGCCGCACGCATGACGGGGAATGAGACCCCACTGCTCCGGACACAGCTGCATACTGAGTTGGTGAGGGCAGCAGGGGCTGAAGCTGGGGACAGGAGCTTCCCCAGGTCTTTCTGGGTGTCTACCCCGCAGGCACACAGAGACTAACAGCCTCCCCCAAGCCCACACTCTGCCTGTCCTGAGACACCTCACTGACCCAGGCGGCCCCTCCACCAGTTCCGCCTGCTGGGGGCTTCTCCCCAAGGCGCCATGGTTCTGCTCATGCTCACGTCCTGGCCATCAACACACACAGGCAGGACGTGTGCACGCGTGTATACGTGTCGCTGATGGGTGCCATGGAGTCGGGTGCGACTCACAGTGACCCTGTGAGCGAAAGATCTGAAGGCTGCTCTGTCCTGCGCCATCCTCACACACAAGAGCCCACCGCAGTGGTCACCGTGTCAGTCCACCTGGTTGAGGGTCTTCCTCTCCTTCACTGACCACGCACACACACTGTACATGTGCAGATGCTCGACGCACATGGACACACGTGCACACTGCATGAACACGTGCACAGCAAACAGGCCCCACATATTCACACACATTTTGCCTACATATGTACACGGCTCACACATGCCTGTGCACGCACACAGCTTCCTGGGGTGATGGTCTCTCACACACATCACCAGCACCTGAGTCTCTTCTGTTCTGAAAAGCAGGTGGAGCCCTTCCCACCCTCACCTCTCCTCACCGCACCAGGATGCGTGCGCATACGCTGCCTGCCCCCTCGCTGCCCATCTCCCCTGCCGTACCCCCCCCCCCCCCCCCCCCCGTCCCCTCTCCACCCTGCCCTCTTCAATTCCTCACTCTAAGCCCAGCACCAGCAGACCAGGCCTCACCTCCCCGTCTCACTCCAGTGTCCAATGCCTCTCTGCTGTCCCCACCGCACTCCACCTCTTCCACAGGAACCCTGGGCCATACGCTGTCATCCAGCAGCACGTGCCCAGTATACTGCTCAGACGAAGCAGCCACCCTCCCTGTCAGGTGCTCCAGCACCCCCAGCATGCAGGTCAGGCCCCTGACTTGTGGAGTCCCTCTCCCACCTGCCTGTGGCCTGCACATGCAGCCGGCCAGTGCAGCTGTTAATAAAGGAACTTTCAATCAAGTCCTCCCCACACCCCACCGCGTGCCCCATGGCAGTCCACAAGAGGGCCAGGGCCTCGCCCTCAGCTGCAGTTTAAGCACATGGACATCTCCCAGCTCTGGAGCCCGTTACCTGCCACTCTATCGCCTAAGACAAGCTCACACATCACATCTTGGGGAGCTGCCTAGAGAGTGACAAGGAAGACCTGGTGCCCCCCATTCCCCTCCTGGACCTGGCATAGTGGGTTACCCTCGGGACACCTGGTCCCACAAGCTCCTGCAGGAAAGCCATCTCATCCTGGCAGGGTCCTCTGCTGACAGGGGGTACACAGAGTTAGGGGCTGGGCCAGAACACAGGAGGCTGGAGGGGCGGAAGCTGCTTGCTCAGAGCAAGGGGTGCTGGTGTTGAGAGCCACTGCATGCGAGAGGCTGGCACTGAGAGCCAGGGGACACAAGCCCAGCAGGCCAAGCTGCTGGGAAGGTTCTGGAGAGCTGGATGGGAGGCCAAGGA